TGGGCTTTTTTATTTCCTTGCATCTTTATCAGTTTTAATTGTCTCGACAGTTTTCTTTTATTGATTTTTATTAATTTTGATACTTTTTAGTTGTGTGCTTTTCTGTCTGTGTGGTTGAATCTCTTCCACACATTCCAGACTCAATACAATAAAATAAAATAACAGGATTAGGCATGACTATAAGGGGAAGAGAGAAATATAAACAATAAAAAACACAAACCTGACATTCATTTTTTTGTTCTATGCTGATTTAATCGGGAAAATGAAGGTAGTAATGATGAAGTATGGAAAGTCGTTACCACATTCAAATTAGAAAATGTAGAAGCTGTAATTTTGAATTAACTAAAATTTCTGACTCTGAATCTCACAGTTTTAGGTTGTTTTTTTTTTATCTTAAAGATAAGGATATACGAGTTTTGCAAAAATGTGTTTTCAGAGCATTGCTTCAATTTAATTTGAAAATACTCTGTTAATCACAAAGGGAAATTAAATGTCGCAAAAACTTATGAGCAGTTTTCAACCAGTGGCTATAGGTTATGATAGCTGTAGACGGGAAGAATCTTCTGTAAATGTCCTTCTTGGATCTGGAGAAGCTTCTTACTGAAGACACTCGTTGTTTAACAGTCTGATGAAGAGACTGTTGTCCATAATGTTCCTCACTTTATGAAAAATTATTTGTTGTGAAATAATCTCCAGAGGTTCTAGAGGAATTCCTAGAACAGAGTTGGCCTTTTTTTATGAGTTTGTTGAGCTTCTGCTGTTGCCAGAAGATGACTGATGGCAGAAGAGATGACATTGATCGATTGATCTGTTAATCTTTTTTTTTTTTTTAGATTAATCAATTAATAATCAGATAGCAAAAGGTTCCTTGAAGTTTTTTTTTTACAGAATTAAATCTGGGAAAACTTAAAATTTTCCACTTGAGATGAACATTTTTTTAATCATAAATGCAAAACATTTATATATTATTTTACAATTTTGGTATAATGGCTGCTCTAAGGCATGTTTTAGATTCCCTATATTTCAGTTAACGATAATCAATTACTAAATTGGTTATTAATGCAATCATTTCTTTCAGCCCTAGATTGCACTCTCCACAAAAGACTGATATGCAGCATCTTGCTGCAAACACTGAAGGAAATAAGCCTGCTTAGAAAGTACAGTCTGATCTGTCCATTCTTGTAGACAGCTTTAGTAGAAAGAGCAAAATTACTGGTTTAGAACCTTTAAAACTGTTTACATGGGTCTGTGCTTGTTGCTGTACAGTGACCCCTTGTGGTGATGACTGGAAATGCAGTTTCAACCTGTTCTTCCTCTCTAGTCAGGTTTTACAGAGCTTGTGATGTAGAGTTTCTCTTACAACAACTCTCCATTCTAATACGAAATAAATCTGCCTCTAAATCAGCTTTAATTCTGTTAAAAAAGTATCAAAGGGTCTGAGTCAGTGGGTCTGAAATTAGGGGCGGAGTTATGTCCAAACCAGCAGTACCTAAACATGTTTTTTTCCCTCCCCTTCTGGAAGTCACATGGGGCTCTATCTGGTCTTCCGTGACTCATTTTGACAAATAACTGGGGGGACAAGGCGTGACGGAGTGTGTGTGTTTTCATTCGGCAGCATCCAGCTGTCTGGAGGTAACTCTGCCCTTTGCTGGTAGCTGCTTCCCTCCACCGGCCTGCGGTCTCCTTCTGCCCGCTGGAACGTCACCGCAGCGCGGCCGAGCGGCGCGCTTCACCCGGCATCAGCGGCGGAGCCCCGAAATAAGGAGTTTACAAAGCCGGAAGTGGACAAACCTCAGCGGTGAGCCTTTTATGTTTCATTAAAACATCTCGGGACGCAAACATCCGGAATGTTGCTCTCTGACTGAAGCTTTGTTTCAGCAGACATTATTTCATCCGTAGAGAAGCGACAACTTCCTGACCTTCACTTCTGGAGCGTCAGAAAGACGTCAAGTGTTTGATTGCATTACATTCACCATCTTCAAAGACGCAAACTTTTTTTTTTTTTTTTTTTTTTTTTTATGCCGCAGCTGCTCCACCCTCGCGTGACGAAAGAGATGTTTTATTTTGGAAAGTTAAAGTGGGGTACAGGGGCCTCCAGGGGGCCTTTGGATGGATGCATTCTGCATCATAAATTCAGTGCGTCATTGAGGGCCTCCTGCAAAGCATGCAACCAGCATCATCAACACTACAGGGAAGGAAACTAAAAAAGGTCCCTGCGTATTACTTCCCCTTTTGAACCTATTTTTTCTAAGGTCGTAAAAAGGCTGAGAGGCAACAACAATGCAGAGGCGTAGCCAGAATCTTTTTATAAGGGTGGCCAGGCAATAACCAATGTACACTAAGGGGGGATAAGCACTAGAACCTCGGGGTCAATCTAAGGCTACGTTCACACTGCAGCCTGAAGTGACCCAAATCCTATTTTTTTTTGGCCCATATGCACCCTGGATCTGTATGAGGCTCTGTTTGTATCAAAAATAAGCAGATGTAAAATGTCTAGATGTTGTTGCATATGTGTTGTCTGCATATGTATAAGTTGCACATGTATTTGTTGCATATGCAGATGTTGCCTCACTGTAATCTTGCCAGACTACATGTCTGAAACATCCGTTATTACGAAGCTAGTGCCGGAAAAATAGTTTGGTTGGTTGAGCTGCGATTGAAAAACCAGGTGATTCAGACACTAGATAAAAAATAAAGCACTCTGAATCCTGCCAATGTGAACACACATTTATTCACAGGACAGAGGCGGGGTCCCTTGGGTTTATTTTAAAGTTTTAAGCCTATAAATGTACCTACCCCCCCAAATATTATACCGACGCTATTTGATCCTACGCCACCTCCTTCCTCCTTTGCTGTCCTAATTAATACCTGAAGTAAATACTAGAGCCGCCGAAATGTAAACATTTTGTAACTATTGATAATGAAAAGATAATCTTTCAGTAATTTCTAATGAAAAAAACTCTACTTCCATTGTTTGTAATGGCGAGGGGAACAGGCATCAAAGACCAACGACAAGAAGCAACAACATTGCCCAAGACAAGAACTAACAGCTTAGAGCAAAGGCACTAACCAATCACGGATGTTTCAGACATGCAGACTGGCAAGATACAGTGAGGCAACTCTGCATATGCAACATAGACATGCACAATCTACATATGCAACATAGACATGCAGAATCTACTTATGCAACATAGATATGTGCAACATCTACATATACAACATAGACATGCAGAATCTACATATGCAAGAAATACATGTGCAACTTATACATATGCAGACAACACATATGCAACAACAGCAAAACATCTAGATATTTTACATCTGCTTCTCAAATGCGACATGGGTCTGAATAGCCTGGCCGCATTCATCTTACCTGAACGCCATTAATACCCAACAAAGGTCACTATTCTGGGTCTTGCAAGAAAAACAGCAACCCTAGTGGATGATGATGCGGAGAGCAGTATTTATGTTTAACCACTGAAAAGATGGTGTTTTTATGGTTGGGAAAGATCGCTAGATCCACTCCGGCACTACCATCCATGTTCACTGAGCATGCTTGCTTGTGACGTTATTGCGTCCTCTACTGTGCATGCGGGATACTTGCGTTGTATGGCTGCAGTTCACTCAGGGGATCACATACAAGTCGCATATATTTAAATGTGAACGGCAAAGCAAAAAAAAATCGGAATTGAGCATCAAGGCCAGCAGTGTGAATGTAGCCTACACTGTTCCAACAGGAAAATTAATGAGTAAAACTTCTATATTTTCAAAATAAAGAGAAACTATACTTTCCTACAGCCTTTGCTAGCAAATAGATGCATATATTTAAACATCCGTAATTTCTAGATAAAAGGTATAGTGGATAAAACTCAGCTTTGAGTTCAGGGCGTAAATCAATCATCGTCGTCTTTATTTACCTACTTGTATCGATAAACGTGCTGCATAAAATTCATATTTACAAGCACTGATATCTAAATTGGTTATTTGATAAGTTTTTATTAAAATTACTGTATTACTGCTGCCACCATCTGTATTAGAGGGGGAAAAAATGGTAGGAGCGGCCAATGATTGGGTTAAAACAAACGTGTATTTATGTTGCAGGTGTTAAACTATGGAAATCTCTGATGTTTTAAAAAAACAACAACTAAAACTTGGCTTTATGCACTGGAAGATGCAAGACGTTGATGATTTATACTTGTATTTTGTGTTCATTCTCTTTTCTTCTATGTTAGGGATTCAGTCTGACTCTGTTTGTACTTTGTTGGTGCCTAATAGAAATATTTGTACATTTCATTTGTGGTGTGTAATGATAAAATGATGTAAACCATAATAGAAAATACATATTTGAAAAATAATACATGCACAGAACGTTTACAGTAGTGAAGTTTATAATTAAATCTTTAATCCAATTAGACAGGTCCAAAATACATACACAAAATACATTGTGAGGCCTAATCTTTAACAAAGGATTCTGCACCAATACGATTCGTATGTTGAGCCTAAGCCTTAGCTGATGGTAGAAGCTCCAGGAATTTAGCCAAACAAAAAGCAAAATGACAGTAAATGAACATCGGTCAGACTTTTCAGAGTTGGTGCTAAATTTTGGAAGGAAAGGAGTTTGCAGATTTTTTTATAAACTGCTAATTTAAATGTTTGGTTTGGCTAGCATTGGTATTATTAGTAGACCTGACAACGGTACAGAATGAAGGTGAGGTGCGCCTCTTAGTGAATCGTAAATCTCGTGAATCTTCTGAATAGACCCGCCCTCTCCATTTGAAAAAATAAGATAAAATGCACATGTACAACCCTGTACCCCCTCCCTAGAGGGAACGCTTATTAAACCCATGCAAGAGCGTGCACGGTCACATTTCTCCTCGTGCACACTCTGTTTAACAGTGTTTAGGTTCATCTGTGCTCTTTTCTCTTCAGCTTAGCCAACAGTTTGTTGGTTTTAAAAATGTTTTAGATCTAGAAACTGAACTGACATTTAAAGTGATATATATTTTGGATCCTTCTCCTTCAGAAACGACACAAAACTTTCAAGTTTCACTGACGGCCTTGTGTTTCAGTGAGTGTCTCTCTCTTTGAAGAAGCTTTCCGGGATGTTTTGTTAGATGTAATCTCACACAGTCCTCATTGGTTTATGACTGAACTCACCTGGAGTGTTTGGAAAGCTTTATCTTTGTCCTAACTGAAGAAAAATGATGGGTCAATTTAAAGTCCAGTAGAGTTTAGCAGGTTAGTCGTCTAGCAGTAAACTTTAGGAAGGTTTTACTTGCTCTCTGTGAGGTTGAGTGCCAACACTCAAGACCTTCAAGGTCGTTCTTATACAGTATAGAGGCCAATCAGATTTCTAAAAATTTGAACTCCTGTTTTATCTAGTTTGAAAAGCAGCTTTTTCCTCATACCTGCTTTGAAAGAAAATATATTGCCTCAGTTATTCCAAAAATTGAGCAAGGAAAAAAAAGTTCTTGAACTTGATTTTAACAGAAAGGAGAAGATGTCGTCATCTCCAAGATCAGACATGCTTTGCTGTGTCCAACGTCATGTGATTCCTTTGGCTGAACAGCTCATTGAGCCTTTTTACCTGCTCCGCTGATCAAAAGCAGAAACATCGGCAGGCGTTGGAGGACAGCCGAGGGATGCCGTGCCGCTCAGATGACCTTTCTTTGCTTTAAAACCCATGTGAAAACGAACAAGCTGCTGCGAATCAGATGACTGTGAATACCAACCCCTAAGTGTGAGCAGGAGTCTTTATTAAGAAGTGTGACATGAAAAGTTTGACTCACAAGTTCTCCTTTGGGGCCTCTCAGAAAAGCACTTACTGTCCTTGGCAATAATTTATGAAATATTTAAGTAACTAAGCAGAGTATAGTGAGGTATGACTAGAATGAGCTGTACTTCTCAAACAGGAAACCAACGATAAGGTATCTGTTTTAGTTGAATTTACTGACTTACAAGCTCTTTAATGCCTTTGTTTTATTACATGGCGAGTATTGAATTATGAGTTTATTGTTATGTTAGTTTATCACCAGGTGTTATAAACTATGAAGATTTATCTGTGGATTTTCTTGGCTCTGTGAAATCTGGGCCATGTTTTCCCAAATTAGACCAGACTTCATGTTGTTAATGAATCAATAAATCTAAATTTGATTGATCTAATCGTTCACCCAATAATTAACTGATAAGCGGCCATTTTTCTCTTGTATCAGGATGATCTTTCCACACAAAGGAGCCAATATGTTTTACAGCAACCCCGTTTTAAGAAAAGTACTTTATATGTTGACAATTTATTGGGCCTGAATATTGATTGAATAAGCAAAGGTGTTTTCTTGCACATTATCAACCTTTTTACAAGGTATAACAAAACAGGAACCTATTGAGACACTAACTTCAGTAGTTTATTTATAAAGCACCAATTCACAACACATGTCACTCCAAGGCACTTTACAGAGACAATTCAACCAGATCATCCGGTCAGATTGATTTAAAGTTTTCTATCTTAAAAAAACAGCTGATTGCATCGACTCATTGACTTAAAGGCAATCCCTCACACTAAGCATGCTTGTAGCGACAGTAGAGAGGAAAAACTCCAGTTTAACAGGAAGAAACCTCCAGCAGAACCAGGCTCAGTGTGAGCGGCCATCTGCCGAAGCTGACTGGGGTTCAAGCAAACAGAAGCAGACACACAAAAGGAACATAGCAGTGATGATCTATGAAAAATTTTCTGTTAGAAAAGGTAATAGTATAGAAATAAGTAAAGAGGATTAAAAATGATGAATAAGATGTATGACACACTTATGATTTCCTGTATAGAGAGATGTAAAGACTGGGTTGAGTATTAGGATGGGTGTTGCGATACGCTACGTGTGACGATACTTGGGTCACAATACGACGTTATCACGTTACTGATATATATTGCAATATTTTTCCCAGCTATCAAATTAAACGTATAGATAAAAGTATATTTTTATCCGAAGATAGTGATCATTTATCTATTTTGGTATCCCTGTTGTTTGGGGTTTGAGTCCCCTGTGACTGCTTGAACCTGTGGAGTTTATTAAGTGTATATATTCACAAATATAACCATAGAGAGTTCAATCTGCATCCTTGTCTCCATTTAACAGTGTTAATATTTTCAGACTGGACTCTGGATCCATTAATGTTTCTGCTCTAGCACGTCTCCACTCAGGCTTTAATTCTATTGCAAATACCAGTGAGGCTCTACTTAAGAATGAACAGCGGCGCCCTCTAGAGGACAGCGGTACCTTACACCTAGGGCTGCAACTGCATATTTTGCTATTTGATTAATCTGTTCATTATTTTTTCGATTAATGAATTAATAATCGGATAGCCAAAGAAGAAGACTTTATGAGATTAAACCAGGTGAAACTAAAACTTTTCCACATTTGAAGTTCTGGATAGAGATTATTGAGAGACGATCTTCTTTTTTTATATTAAATGCCAAATGTTTATATATTTTTTCACTGGGTATAATCTGGGTATAATTGCTGCTCTAAGTGGGTCACTCTGTCAGCTAAAGGCATGTTTTAAACACTCTTTACTCCAGTTAACGATTAATCGATTACTAAATTAATCTGATTGTTTCAGCCCTACTTACAACACTGAAGGACATTCTTTCCAAGCAGACTTTATCAGTTAATTGAATGGAACACATTTATTTCTGGTAAAAATTTAATAGACATCTAATCAACCATCCATTTTCTGACACGCTTAATCCCAAGTGGGGTAGCGAGGGGTGCTGGTGCCTATCTCCAGCTGTCTACGGGCGAGAGGCGGAGGTTCACCCTGGACAGGTTGCCAGTCCGTCGCAGGGCAACACAGAGATGAACAACCATTCACACACACACAGCTGAGGAGAATTTAGAAAAGCCAGACATCTAATCATATGCCAATTATTTGTTTTAATCCCTTTCCCTTTGTTTTAAAGACTTTCCTAACTCTCATTTGAGGTCTGTGTGTTGTTGATTCTCTGTGCCATAAGGCTCTCAATGGACAGACCCATGAGTGTTTCTGACCTTCTAAATCTTTATGTTCTCTCCTGGATCTGGCCTTTGCAGATCTATGGCCTGAAGGCTCTGGCTGTTTTTATCTATGTGTCTGCCTTCCTTCTAATGTAATCTATCCTGGGATATATTGAGGATAAATCATATCCTGACACATGTTGGGCACAAAATTATTTTAAATTCACAACCCTAGTTCTAAGTCCTCTGTGTCCTCCAGCGGGAGTTATTCTCAAGTAGAAGATTCTGATCAGAAGAGATCAAAACAATCATCAATACATGTGGTTCGTATTTTTTCCTAACCTTTAACACACCATCCTTGCTGGTCAGCATAGTAGTGGCTGAACATGATGTGAAAAAGTATTTGAGCTGTAGGAATAGATAAGCTGGTCATCTGAATGACGCTAAATTTAGAGCAACCGACTAGAGGCTGGAAAATAATTTAGACAGGATAGGAGGATCCGTTCTCAGCAGGAAAATGACCCAAAACAAACAGTCAGAGCTACTCATACAATGGTTAAAGTGTCAGCATGGCCTAGTCAAAGTACAGACCGGAATGGTAGTTTTAGTATTGGTAAGAAGTTCTAAAAATCAATGTTTACTGTCGCTCTCCAACCAATCTGACTGAGCTAGAGCTGGTTTGCATTGAAGTATTTATTTATAATTATTTTTATTAATTTATTCCCTTCATAACCACACACTCTTTAGTGTTAATCAGATAAAATCTAACTAAAGTACATTGAGGCTTTTTGTTGTAACATGATCAACTTAAGAACTGTAAACTGTTTAGTTTTAGCGAGCTACGCTTCTATCGTCCGCTGATAGAAAGCAGTTTTTTCCTTTAGATGATTGGATTTCTCCTCCTCTCAATCCTGTTCTCACTCTAGTTTTGTTTTTGTTAAGCTGAATGGTTATATAAAAGTTTTGCCTTTTTTATTTAACTTATTTAGGGAATTCACAACAAACAGTTTAGACTGACTGTGATTTTTCCACAGCCTCATGCAGAGATCTCCATTACAGACTCATGTCTGTTTTCAGCTCCACCTCAGGACATCATGGTCACAGCTGATCAGTATCCACCTGACTTCCCTGCAAAGAGTTTCCTCTTTTTTTTCACAGAAATCTTTATACTATGTAACTGAACCTTACATGGACGACTAATGTAACCCTTTGGATGAAGAATTAGAACAAAGTCCTGGTGTATTTTAACTGTTCAAGTAGTTCCCCTTAAACACTTTTAAATTACAACATTTTGTACACTTTTTTGGGAGAGGTCGGCCCTCCAGGCATATGGAGACAGAGCTACAGTGGAACAGTTTTAGATCAATTCCTTTCTTTAAAAAGTCTCAAAGTAGAGACTAAAAGTTCAGTTTGTAAACATCTATTCTATCGCAAAGAAAGGGCAAAACATGTAATAAAGCTGATAGAAAATTTGCCTTTTAAGATTTGAAGTGTTGCATCAAAGTAGGTTACTGCAAGATACTGAGTGAAGGGGTCTAATTATGAATGCCAAAACATCCAGATATTTTTTAGGTAAGGGAACTGTGTAACCTTTTAGTAAAGCATTTGCTTAATTTGAGATATATCAAATGATTATTATTAGGTCAGTGTGCAGCACTTGGAGCGTATCAATGCTCTGAGCAAACCTAAAGAATTTATTAGGGATTCTGTCAAATATCAAGATACTTAGTTGGTATTGATTGGAATTTTGGCCGAATAGATTTTAAATGTAAAATATATTCATAGGCAAACATCAAATAAATGTTCTTACTTTTATAATATGACTCTTAAGCCTTCAGCCAATTGATGGTAGCGCACTGCCTGAGAACCTATTATACAGCTGTTCTGCACCAGCAGCAGCAGAACAACAAGATCTCTTGATGTTTTCCAGAACCTTTATTAATATAAAAATCGGAATATATCATCTTTGTTAATGTATCGTGATCCATTAGGAAAAAATTTATCGAAACACGTGTATCATGATACGTATTGTATCAACAGATCCTTACTAGTGCACTTTACCCAAAAAATGTCAGGTTAACTTAGTTTGATTTAGTAAATATACTGAAATTTTATTAATCACTAGAGAAATGAGGGAAAGTTTATACAACATTGTTACCAATATAACTTGGAAAATGTTTAAGACGGAAAAGCTTCTTGCTTGGATTTAACCTAAACTGTGGCCTCATCCAGGCTGCTTTCCCAACTCTTCTACAGTTACTGACTTTGCACTAGGGATGAAACAATTTAAGGTATTGTTGAGGAATTCTACAAATTTTTGTGAAGGCCTGCCCTCTCCACTTTAAAACAAAAAATGCACATGCAAAACCCTGCACCTGCTCCCGAGAGGGAACGCCTATTAAACACGAGCGTGCACAAGCCCATTTCTCCTCGTGCACACTCTGTTTAAAAGTTGCTGTTTGCATCGCTAATACAGGCTTACTTTCCAAAAGAAGATTTTAAATTTTTCCAATATGTCGGACTCACCACCGCTAAGTGAAGATGGGGACGAGCACGTAGGACGGCCTTACATAAACATATCACCAGGATGATTGACAATTAGAAGGACCACTTATTTTGATGATCCACCCGGACACTGTTACTGTCATGTTGTTTTCTTCCCTTGTTATCTTGTATGGATATTTTATGGTTTTCAGAATAAACTACTTATGTCAAGTTTTTAGTTTCAGTTTTGCTTAAATTATAATTTCTGGATTCTACTTGTAAATTGCTTTTAATGAACTATTTAAACCCCACTGTCTGGTCCCTGCAGCCATGCCGAATGAACGCTCCCCTCTGATCACCTCTGGGGTGTGCGGACTGACCCTGACCACAGCATGCGGCACAGCGTCAGACTCCCCCCAGGAACCCAACGCCGGGAAACCGGCTCAGGACCCGCGGAGGCTGAACACCTTCTTTGGGGTGATGGTCCCGACCATCCTCTCCATGTTCAGCATCATATTGTTTCTGAGAACAGGTGTGTGGCGCAGCTTCAAAGACATGTAGAGGAATAAAGACGACTGTTGGGTGTTTGTGAAGAGTCTGCTGAGTCACTGTGACTCACAGCGGTGTGATCTCCATTTTGCAGGGTTTGTGGTGGGTCATGCAGGGTTGCTGCAGGGTCTTTTGATGTTGGTGGTTGCCTACACCATCATATCTCTCACAGTGCTCTCAATCTGTGCCATTTCAACTAACGGAGCTATTCAGGGTGGCGGAGCTTATTGTATCCTTACCAGTTATAAACATATGTTTGTATATGTTTGTATGTATAATGTTTGAATCATTTGATTATTCCTAGATTTTTGTTTTCTCCACATTCATATCCAGATAAATCAACCTTAATTAAACTGCTGTAGATATGATCAGTCGCTCTCTGGGACCTGAGTTTGGAGGGAGCATCGGTTTGATGTTCTTTTTTGCCAAAGTATTTGCATGTGGAGAGTACGTCCTGGGTCTTGTGGAGGCCATTCTAGATGTATTTGGAGCAGATCCTGGTAGGTTGAGTCCATGCTTCGGTCGTCTCACCCCTCAGACATCCATCTGAGCTTCAGTTTGTTTGATTTCTTTCAGAGTCCTCTGTGTCTGAAGGGTGGCGGGTGCTCCCTCAGGGTTACTGGTACACCGTTCTGTACTCCTCTGTGGTCCTCCTGCTGTGTCTCCTCGTGTGCCTGGTGGGCGCCCACATTTACTCTCGCACGGCCTTCGCCATCCTGCTGGTGGTCACCGTGTCGCTGTTGTCCGTCTTCATCAGCACCGTGGCGGTGAAAGCGAAAGACTTCGTCATTGTCCACAAGGGGCCGGGTAACCAGACGCTCCGCTACAACGCCAGCTACACGGGTTTCAGCGCCACTACGCTGAGGAACAACCTGGGCTGTGAGTCAGGATTAGGAGCAATAATGATACTTCAGCTATTTTTTCCCCAGGTTTTGACTTTGTTTTGGTGTTTTTTTTTGTGCAGCTGGTTACTCTTTGGACTACAGCACCAACTCCGTCATGTCGTTTGCCACGGTGTTTGCAGTCATGTTCACCAGCTGCACCGGGATCATGGCTGGAGCCAATATGTCAGGTTACAGCTCGTCATCTTTTACTTTTCATATGTGGAAAATACAGCAAATCAAAAATGCTTTTCAAACTACATTGCGATTGTACTTTGTTTTTCCCTTATATTAACCACAAGCAGGTAGATGTTTCTTTGCTTTCATGACCTTGAAAGCTTTATTGTCCAGTCTTCTGTCCCAAGTATTCACTGTTATTGAATGGAAAAGTATTTACCTCTACACAAATGCATGATTTTATGCACTAGCTGCAACCCTCTATCCTTCTGTAAGGCGGCAGAACACTTTGAGCATATTGCCGCCATCTATAGGGCCAAAGTGAGAAAGTCATTGTCAGACTTTTTTAGAATTAGATGTTTTTAAAAGATGTTGAGACAATATAGGTCAAATATATATATAAAAAAAGGAAAGATAGATAGAAGTTAGAAGATAGCTAGAAATGATTAAAAACTACAATTCAAGAACAGTTCCAAGAGCTGTAAAGAAACATAAAACAACAATATAAACATAAAGAAAACGGCATCCACAGTTGAATGGATAGGAATGAAAGGCTTGACTGAACAGGTAGGTTTTTAGCTGACATTTAAAGACTGCTTAATGAATAAGCGATCGTAGTTCAGGTGCTTAAAAAAGCTTTCCACAATCTGGGAGCAAAAACAGCAAAAGAAATAACAGCCCCATGTTTTGCACCTAGTCTTGGGGGCATACAGTTGTGATGAGCGGGCCCTGACAGTTAAGAGTTCACACAAATATGCTGGAGTGATTTATGTATGTATGGTGAACTCAAGCCAAAGTAATCTACTCAGCGGAGCAGCTTTTGGTCAGAAAAAAAAAAAAAAGATTACTGTCAGCCACTTCTTCCAGATCGAACCAAGAGCCTTGGCAGACAGGGATGCTGCACTAGCTGTGATCGGCTCAGTTATTTCACCCAGCAGGATTAGATGAAAACCTCTAATGGCTTTCTATTAGTAGCTATCTGATATTTTATAATTCAATTTTTTGTAATTTATATTTAACGAGAAAAACTCATTCAGCTTCATTCAGTCGGGAAAAAAAGCTATGCCAAACTGTTTTGTCACGTAACCAAATGAACTAGTTTCATTGGCGAAAAGCTGCTCGACTGCATCAAGTGTTGATTGCTTTGGCTTGAGTTCACCAAAAGGTCGATACATTTGCAGGCAAATTCTTACCAGATTAAAATTAAATGTAAGGAATTCAATTTGTAAAAAAAAAAAATTCAGTGTTTAAAATACGGTGTACAAAAAAAGGCAGATTCCAGTGAGACAGTTATTCTTCCATATTTACGGAACAGGACAGAACGAGAGTGGGCGAGCATCAGTGCGCCACTTAGTGGTCGGGAGGAGTTGTAGCTATCACCTTTAAATGTAATGTGACTAAAATTGATCGCCTCTGATTTAAAAACGCCATTTTCTTTTCGATGAAATTGCAAATGCAGTTATTTCCCAGTGCTGCTGTATAAACTTGTTTATAGATGTTTGTTCTTACTCCATCTTTGCCTGAAGGGGAGCTGAGGACTCCAAGTATTTCCATCCCTAAAGGCACCATCATAGCAGTCTTCTACACCTTCACTGTCTACGTCCTTCTCTTTATCTTGGTCAGCGCCACATGCAACAGGTGCAGCCAAAGTCATACTTCATTATAGCCCAGCCTTAATTCAAGTAAATTTAGACAGATTTAATGTAGTTTATTTTCTTCATTTTTTTTTAAGGACACTCTTGATTCAAGACTATGGGTTCCTACAGCGGATAAATATCTGGCCGCCATTTGTCACTGTTGGAATATACTGTGCTTCTCTGTCAGCGGCAATGTGCGCTATGATCGGAGCTTCCCGCATCCTCCATGCGCTCGCTCTGGATCAGCTCTTTGGTAAGTCATGTGATTATTCTTTGTCTTTCTGCTTTTTTTTTTATCAGCTGCCTTAGCAGAACACGTGGATTTATTTTTTTATACTCAGGGTTGCCCTTGGCCCCAGCGACAATCAAATCTAACTCTGGGAACCCATGGATGGCGGTGCTGTACACCTGGGGCCTGGCACAAGTAAGTACTGCATCTGTCTGTCTGTCTGTCGAAAATAAACAATATTAAAACAAAACAAAAAACTGATCTGTAGCAGCTCTAATTTGTAGTCAACAAACCTCATCAGAGCCTCCTATCAGAACATTAAGAAAAAAAGAAACTAATAATCACTAACAAACGCAAACAGAGACACGGCATCAAGGTAGGAGATATTGAAACTAAATGAATAAATACTCATAGGCTAAAAAGTTTTTTGTTCGTAAAAAACACCAATTAAATACATTCAAATGTTATTTCCCCAATGATAAGACCTGAAATGCATCTTATAGTAAGTAGTCTTTTGGATTTAGCAGCAATAGAAAACTCATACTGCTGTCCCAGTACTATCCTCTGGGAACCAAATATTTTTTGTGTTTCATGAATTTAGATTTCCGACTTTTCTTCATTATTTTCATAACTTTGTTGGGAGGTGCTAACTGGCTTAGCCCCATTACTACCTAGTTTACCCATTGTGCATATGTACAGTACCATACCTCTGGTCACATGGTGTTATGGTAAATATGCACAGAAGGGTTTTATTAACTAACAAATCAAGGAAAAAAACGAAACAAAAATATGCCAGCAGAATGCTGTAATCTTTCATAAAGCCTTGTATGCAACCAGACTGAGCGACCTCCATATAAATTTAAACCAAGCCCCTTTGAATTGCTGTTTTTTTTCCTTTTCAGTGTGTGGTGTTTGCAGGGCAGCTCAATGCTGTAGCAAGTCTGGTGACAGTTTTCTACCTGCTCGCCTACGCTGCTGTAGATCTGGCCTGTCTGGCTCTTGAGTGGGCGTCTGCACCAAACTTCAGGTGAAAACAACAGCTTCTCTCAAACTGTTTCTCTAACTCTAAGACAACTCGGAATGATTAATGATCCAGATTCTCAGTTCTTACTGTAATACATTCATGTGTGCAAATATCAATGTCTGTGAAGGCAGCAAAGACTGAAGTGCAAAGCATGGATTCACACCCTGCTGCTCACGGCTGAGAGGCACTGCCTTTGATGTTTAAACTAGATGTACATGTTTTTTGGACTAAAGTATGAAAGATTGCTTCGAGTGGTCAGAACAAACTAATTAAGACATTTAAAAAGTCGTTTCTATCCACAAGGCATATGGAATTAATTTTGTCTTCTGGACCAATAACAATGTTACATCCATGCTTGCCTACAAAAATACTTCTTCTGTCCTCCCTCCAGAGAAAAGTCCAAAATTCACTCCATACGGGCAAAGCTTAGAAGTGAATTTACAACATGAAATTACATTAGATAAGCATGCAGATATGCATGAATATTATTGGTTTTTTTAAAAAGAGGTCTGTCTTAGGGATACAATCCCAGTTTCTGTTCCACTGTCCTACCCTTGGTTTCCCTCTGGATATGCTTGTGCATGTGATGTCTAAAATCCAAGTATTCTCTTTCAGAAATATGATTCACAGTATTATCTTTCTAGTCATACTGAGAGCTTCTGAAGGTCTTAAAATGCTGTTTTTGTTTCACTAGATCTACCATCTAGGCATGCATGTCATGAAAGAGCAGATTCCTCTCAGCTACTTCCAGCATTGTTACTTTGTTGGAGATGCCCCGTGCATTTCATCATTGCTAAATACTCTGCAGCTCCACTCTGTTACTAGTGCAATAATGGAGTTTGACTTTAAAATTAAGCTGTTTAAAAATCAGAGTGGGTTCGGTGGATGATGAAGACACAGAAGGTCAGAGACTCGAAAAACACCTTCCGGTCTTCAGTCAAAATCAGAATCAGATTTATTGGTGAAGATTTTTGTTTCACGTCCTAACAGCTCACTCAAGTATAGATAAACACACTGTAGTGGAAACAAAATGAAAGGTAAAGAAATATTTTGTTCATAATCTGAGCAGCCAGCATGTTTTATCATTTTAAACATGTTTCTATCCTAGTAACAGTGATGCAAAAGATGACATGGTTAAAATCGCAATGGTAAAACCTTTTGCTTGATACGTAAAGGAAGGGGCTGTATCTGAACGTCCGCCCTAACCCCTAAACCCATCAATCACTAAATAGAGCACGAACTATATAGTGGACTTTATATTGAACTTAGGTAACTGACTGTCTGGACAGACGATCACTACTTTTCACTCCCCATTGGTCATGTGACTCCGCCTCCCCGCACACTGCCTGCACCGTCTTTGTTATTTATTGCCACTAAAACAAATCCCATGATGCTTTGCGAAGAGAGCTATCCGGGATATATCTGCTGGTCTACTGACCATGGATCATGGATCATCAAGGACCACTTTTCAAGGTGCATTGTGGGAAATTTCGAGCCCAATACTTTTTCATCCACGAGACATTCAAACTCTCATTTAAAATGACGTAAAACACGATATTGTGCCCTATATAGTGGTTCGGACAAATTTTTCATATCATCATGCTGATAAAACACAATTTTCTGTCTAAAGTTAATGTTAAAGTTAATCCTACTTGTTGATGTATTAATTTAATAGCAAGTAAAACTTTTCTATTAAATTCAACACCAGTTATATATTGTTTAATACTTAATTAAAAGTAAATTAAAAGGAGCCAAAATGCATTTTAGATGCAAAAATACTGAATACGCTAAAATCAACAATAAATACTGTAAATATATTAAACTGACCAAAATAAATTATATTAACTGACTAACTGAAAATATACGTTGTTTTATAGGAAGTCAGAATTCTGCTAGAAGTGCACATAATAAAAACTCACACAAGCAGTTTCACTTAGAACACATGCATTTAGACTTCCCTCCTATGCATTTTGAACATTTTATGCGTGCAGATTTAATATCATGAGGTTCCTGATTACAAGTATGAGTGCATGTTAGTTCTCTGCTTGCATGTAAAAATGTTTCTGAACAGTCATGACGCTTTTTGTCACTTTGAGGGTGTAGTCAACCGTAAAAATATAAACTTTTTTTTTTTCCAAAAAAGCGTGAGGCTAACCTAGCAGTAACCTAGCTGTAAGGTCTTCATTCACAAATAGAGCAGACGGTCTACACTGCAAAAAAATTGAAATGTAAATAAGCCAATTAGTTGCCAATGGAACAAGACAATTTAAATAAAAAAAAGAAAAAATAATTGCATTGTCTTATTTCAATTGCTGATTATCTTATTATCTTATTTTAGGAGAAAAAACTCACTCCATTGGCTAATAGTTTTTATTTACCTGCTCAAATTAAGAGAAAATACACTTAATTTAAGAATGTTTTACTCATTTCTAGATCGATTTTGCAGTGTAGTTGGACTTCTCGCCTAAAACACCAGTTTCTGGTTCAATCGATACGCTTAGAGAAGAATCTTTGTGCACTTAGGAACAATTTCCCATCTCTATGGAAGCGGTTTTGAGAGTCTCTCCATGTATCTTGCTGTGATAAACAGGCCGACTTTCCAGCTCTTCTCATGGCACACCTGTCTGCTGGGGATCCTCAGCTGTCTGGTCATGATGTTCGTCATCAACCCCGTATACTCCTCAGGCAGCATCGTCCTGCTCCTGGTCCTCCTCCTCTTCCTCCACTACAGGTCACCCACCAGCAGCTGGGGTTACATCAGCCAGGCTCTTATTTTCCACCAGGTATCTAAACACAGCCAGTGCACACCCACAGATAGAGAGTCAGGCTTGCAGCCATGTTGTTTCTGCTTGTTTTCATTTAGGTGCGGAAGTATCTGTTGATGCTGGATGTAAGGAAAGACCACGTGAAGTTCTGGAGGCCCCAGGTCCTGCTGATGGTGTCCAACCCTCGCTCCTCCAGTCAGCTTATTCTGTTTGTGAACCAGCTGAAGAAGGGCGGGCTGTACGTGTTGGGTCATGTGCAGCTGGGAGATCTGGGTAATTCTCCTTATACTTTTTGAAATGATCATGTTGCAAATTGGTCAAATACATTTCTAATTATCTACTTTTTCCAAATGTACGAAGTCAGAATTCTGCCTAAAGGGCGAATGGGTAAAAATACAGATAAGAGTTTTATTTAAAACCCACACCTGCAAACTACTCTATGTAAACAGTTCTGTGCGCTTTTCTCCTACGCATGTGTGGACCTGTTTCTTTGCACTCATGTCAACTTTTGCCTGTTTGAGGGTTGAACCATTTGGAAAAAGTAAACTGCTTGTGATTGGCTGCAGTTCAGGAAATCCACCCTAAGACTCTTCACTTCCTGGTCGCAGCTAATAACGACAGCAAAGCATCTTCAGGCTAATAGCTGTTCTCTTAGGGTTTTAATCTAACTTTTTAATCTAGAGTTATAATGTTATTTCATATCCAGCAGACCGTCTCTGTCATCAAGTGACAATTTTATAAAAGTAATGATGGGCACTAAAAGAAAAATGCATAAAGTTTGATACAGACTTACTGTAAATGAAAATGTTTGTGTTAAACTTTAAATGTGTTTTCATTTAAGCCGCACTCTCTTCAATGTAAACAGTGAAGCTAAGGTTAACATAATTATCAAAAGCTTTTCAATCTACTAGTGAAAAGGGTGTGAATTAGTGGTGATGGAGCATTTATTGTTGGATATTAAAAATAATAAAACAAATGAAAAAGAGGGAAATGCTGGAATTATGAGAAATCATCTTGATATGAGGAGAAGAACATGAATAGAAGATTTTCATCCCTGATGTATAAAAGCTGAACATCATTCTGTGCTGCTCGGGGATTCTTTGAGAGCTCTGGATTGGCACTTTTAAATCAAGTCATACAGAATGGTCCCTCAGACGGCCTAGAGGGGTTCAATCCTTCTCACCTTTTAAACCCTTTACCCGTTTTCCTGTCTGATGTATCCAGGCGGAGCGTTCAGCATTAAATTTTCTCATTATCTTTTGGATAAATGCTAAAGAGTTTTAATCTGGCCTAATCAGTATGATTGCTGTTTCCTCTTCTTTTTTCCTGTTTCCTTGCCTTGTTTGTCTTTAACCTAATATCTGCTTTGAATTTGTACAGTAGAGGTTTGTGGTTGTTTAGTTACGAAAACGGGTGGAGTGGTCATGTGCTGGAAGTGAGTCAGCAGGTTATTTTTTTCATCATTCATTCTAAGGGCAACAGAACCGGTTTAGCAAGATCTAATGAGGCTGGAAAGGTCTGGTGCAATCGGCAACAGCCTCCTGTTGACTTTGCCCTTTCCTATGCACTGCTGTTTGCATGGTAAATAATAATACAAGTTTTCTCTGAAGCCCAGCGCCATAGAACTCAGAGCAGTCGTGAGCCATCCCTGATTTCAGCCTAAATTCATTTTATTTTTCTTCATGTTGCAGGCCATTTTAATTCAACTTTAGGGACTATGGTCTTTTATTGTTTTGTTTTTCATTTTCTACTTGATTCCCAGGGTTCATGATGTGCCCCCTAGTGGTGTAAATGATACATCAATCCATTTTCTATCATGCTTTATTCCTGCTGGGGTCGCCAGGGGTGCTGGTGCCTATCTCCAGATGTTACAGGCGAGAGGCGGGGTACACCCTGGACAGGTCACCAGTCCATCGCAGGGCAACACAGAGACAAACAGCCATTCACGCACACTCACACCTAAGGACAATTAGAGAAGCCAATTAACCTAACTGTCATGTTTTTGGACTGTGGGAGGAAGTCGGAGTACCTGGAGAGAACCCAAATATGCTCAGGGAGAACATGCAAACTCTATGTGGAAAGACCCCGGGCCGAGAATCGAACCCAGAACCTTCTTGCTGCAAGGCAGCAGTGCTACTGACTGTGGTCCACTGAGCAGCCTAAATAATATATTACAATCTATTTGCTGTCAAATCTGAGCAATCTACCTAAAGATTAATGGTGGGACTCGATAGAAGTATGTAACTGAGTTAATTACAGGGTGTGTAATTAATTAAACACAGTTATATAATGAAAATGAACAACATTTTCATTTCAAAATTTTGATCCTATATTATTGAATAAATAAACATATAATAAGAATAAACGTGGTAACATTACAACACTTAAAGAAATTCCTTTAAAGCTGTTTTTATCAATTCATCTGCTGAATAAGGTTTCATCTAATAAACCATTAATCAACATTTAATTGTAAGTTGATTATTTGTTGACATCTCTAATAACAGCATATTTTTTCCCATTATAAAGCCCATTCTGTGAATAAATGTGTGTGTTTCAGACTCCCTGCCATCAGACCCTCTGCAGGCCCAATACAACTTTTGGCTGAGTCTGGTTGATAAACTTGGGGTGAAGGCCTTTGTAGATCTAACTCTGTCTCCCTCAGTCAGGCAAGGAACACAGCATCTGCTGCGCATCACAGGACTTGGTAAACTTTCTTCTGCCTCCATTTGACAGATTGTTATGGAGTGAACTTTGTTCCATTATTATTGCTAGCAAAGGACATGATTTGTATATATACATTTAGAAAAAAAAATCCATCCATCCATCCATCCATCCATCCATCCATCCATCCATCCATCCATCCATCCATCCATCCATCCATCCATCCATCCATCCATCCANATCCATCCATCCATCTTCCACTCTTTCCGTCAGGGCAGGGCTGGGGCCCTGATAGCCTGCAATTCAGAAAAGAAACTCTTAAAAACATATTAATCTAAACCGATTTTAAGAGGACCTTTTCAGTTTTCTTAGATTTAATTTTTTTCAAATGTTTGAATTTTTTAAATCAAACTTTGTATTTTTTTTTTTTTTTTACAGTTCCTATTTTTTAGATTTAGTTTGGAGAATTGCATTCCTTGCAAAGTGAAGCGCACATTGACCGATAATGTAGAAGATATGGCTTCCCTCCTCAGTCAAGAGGAAAGTCCGTGTCCAGAAGTGAACAGAATGTGATCTGTAAAAAGTAATTTGATATGAATGCAATTCATAAAAATCATATTTTTATGTGGAAAAATTAAAGTTAAAAAAGAGGAAACGTAAGAGTTACTTAAATTTATTTATTTTTTAAATAACACATTTTTCTGTTTCATTTTTGGATTGCATTTTTTTTAATTTACAAATTGTGTTCTTTTCTTATAGCACTAATGAAAAAAGATTCACTCTGTAGATTTACTGTCTTATTTGCACACACTGAGTCTGATTTAGTGTTTTTTCTCTCCAAGGGGGCATGAAGCCCAACACACTGATTTTAGGTTTCTACGACAGCTGCACTCCTGATGATTTCTTCCTCCAGGATTCTGCCTTCTGTCGCTCATCTGTGGGAGAAAGCAGCGAGTCGGAGTACAATTTTGGGGTCGACCTGCCTTCACTGCAGGCCCATTTCCCTCCTGTCCGGCATGTTGAGAGCACCCGGTGGCTGCTGCCTGAGGAGTATGTTGGCATCATTTCTGATGCCATTAAAATGAATAAAAACGTATGCCTCGGCAGATACTTCTTCCAGCTGCGGGGAGAAGATAAAGACAGCAAAGTGGACGGATCTGAGCGGATAATAGACGTGTGGCCTCTCAACCTGCTCCAGCCAGGTTGCCAGGACTACCAGGACGTGTGCAGCCTGTTCCTGCTGCAGATGGCCTGTGTGCTCAACATGTCCAGCAAATGGCGTCACGCGAGGATGAGGATCTTCCTAAACGTGGAGACTGGCTCCTGTGACCAGGGCTGGGTGGTCAACGAAGAGACGTTTCGGGAGCTGCTGAGGAAGCTGAGGATCAGGGCCTCCATAAAGATTGTGTCGTGGGACTCTGTGGTGCAGCACTACGCCTTGCCAGAGGGGGAGCGTTGGGGAGAGCACGCTCCGGGGTTATCTGAGGACTTCTTGTCTGCAGTAAATTGCATGCTGATGGAGCACAGCTCTCAGGCTGCTGTTCGCTTCCTGTATTTACCTCGGCCCCCTGCTGGCCGCAACCAGTCACAGCACTACTTGGCTGAGCTTGAAGCGGTGACAAACGGTTTAGGGCCTACACTGTTGATTCATGGGGTCACCCCTGTCACATACACCGATCTCTAAGCTGGTTTTGTCTCTTTAATAATGTAAATATCACAAATTTATTTCTTTGTTGAATTAAATCTAAGAGGTTCCAGTTCAGCATCTAATATTATTTAAAAATGCTGTTCTGCAGTATTTGTTTGTTAACAGCTGGATTCTTTTCTCAGAAACGGTCCAGATTCAGGCACAGCTTGAAGTGTAACAGGAAACATTCCTTTTTTATAAACTTGAAATGGCTCTGATAGCCCCAGAAAAAGGCTTCGATAAAACAGTTGCAGTAATTGTAATTCTCCTAAGAACCAACAAGGGAAATAAAAACCTTAAAAGATGAGTTATAAACAAGCCTTTTTTTCTTTAAAGCTGCATCATTCCCTCCATGACTAAGTTTTCCTTTCAAACCTCAAATGTTTTATGTTCCATCTTTCAATTTTCCTGTTATTTAATGGAAATACCACAGTTGCAAAACTTTGTATTTTTTTATTTAGCAGAATTATAGCATTATTTTTGCCAATTTGTAAAGGAAACAAAGCCATTGGCAGTTGTTTATGCAACTATGTGAAAGGTTGGATATAAAGAAAAATACAAAATGTATAGATGAACAAGTAGATATGAAGCTACAAAAGAAATGATGAAAAATAAATGAATTAAATGTATATAAACAGAAGGGTTAATTCACTGGGCAGGATTTTTCAGTCCATCAAGCAGTCACTGTACTGGGCCACAACTGGTAGTGGAAGTCATTCAGCCTTCCCAGGTGTAGCAGAACTGGTTGCCATGTACAGTAGAGTGTATTTTTTGTGTAGCCTCTTGTGACATGGAGGATCTTTTCTAAGGTAAGAGTTGAGAATATGATGACATGATGGGTTCAACATGACCGCTGAAATGAGCACCAAGTGGAGCGATGCCAAAGAAATGGCCAAAGGTTATATAGATATGGAGAAACTATCACAGAGAAACTAAATATTGATTGAGTGGTCAGTCAATCCTACACGTGACCAAAACGTGTGAGAGCTTTGCTGCTGTTTGTCTGCATTGGTCACAGGAAGAGTCAATATATGGTTTAAATTTAACTTAACATTAGAACATGCCTAAACTCGCCCATCCACGGCAGCTGACCTACAGGTTTTAGAGGTTTCCCTGCTTCAGCACAGCCGATTCTGACAATTAACTACCAATGGAGTCCCACCTCTGACCTATACTGTAATATGATGCCAACTGTAACTAAGAGGGTAGGGCCTGGGAAACGTTCACTACCCTCGCAAGGTGGCATGTGTATGGACCTGACAATTCTAATATAAAATAAGAACAAAGATATCCAGAGTAATCTTGAATTTTTAACTATACTATGTTGAAAATGGATTAAGTAGTGGAAGATCCCACAAGCAGCTGAATCATTCGGAAATCACGAAAAACCACCAAGTTTGTTCCAAAGTAAGATGCTGAACTAAGAAGCACACAGTTTCTAGGCTACAAGACGGTTATGTATGTTGTCAGGATTATAAAAAAAGTAAATCACAAGTGCATTGGGGTCACCTATGTTTATTGACTATGAGCTTTTATAATGCTTAACGAGCATATTTTACATTGAATGTCCCACTTGCACAATTCAATGGCCACGTGTGCAGCGTGAAGCTGACACCCTGCTTAGTGAAAAAAAACCCAGCAAATAGACTGAATGATTAGGGATTCATCAGTGCAGGTTTATACTGTTAAAGTTATTATATCAGTTTATTTCAGAAATATTAAATATAGTTATTAGGTCATCCAGAGGTCAACCATTACCCATTTAAGAGGCAGCCAGGTTTACATTTCTGTATTAAAAATCCTCATTAGCTGTTGTCCAGAATCATAGGAATTTGTAAACAAATGCCAACATGATCACTCTGAGTAATCTAGTTTCACTTTCGGAAATACATTTCTGAAAATATTATTTTTTAGTGATGCTTTAAGTGAGGTGCAGCTGTGCTTGTTATATCCCATTCTGTCATCTTTGTAACTTCATTAATACTGAAGGAAACTAACCGACCAATAAGACACAAAACCAGGATCTGTAAATTAATAAAAAATTTATAATATGTCTGTATTTATGTGTATTTTGTTTGCTTTGTATAAAAGTGAAATGTTATCATAAATATAAAAAATAAACTATTTCTTCTTTGCACTGCTCCACTCCTTTTCCTCAGATTCTGCTCTCTGATAGGTCCTTATATTCGGAACGTTTCTTAACACCCTAACGAAGAAAGTGGACATCCGGAGCCAGTCTGGCAGCAGGAGCGAGAGAGCCGCACTCTGTAGGATGTTGGAAAAAACAGACAAACATGAAGGTGAAGCAGCTGAAGGCTTTGAAACGAGTCACGGCTGATCACTGCTCTACTCTGACCTGCAGGGCATGGGACAGACAGCCGCTGGTGTAGCTGGAGTGACCTATGGTGTTCACTGCCTTGTAGGCAAACCCTGCTGCGCTTTTCACCAAACAGTTGACCTGCATGTTCTGTGTCATGTTGGTGGAAACCATGAGGGGGGCCACACACTGAGGAGACAGAAGCCCTGATGTTAGGTTACACGAAACAGAAAGGGACAATATTAACTCAATAGCATGCACGTTTCTTCAGTTTATCATAATAATCAAGGAAAAAACAAAGAAGCTGATGAAATTGTAAAAAAGACAAAATATGTTTTACAGCAGTTATTTTCTCTTCCTGCTGAGAACTGTTCTTATCAGCACTGCTGCAGAAAAAGTCTAAAATATCCAAAATACTGTATCTCAACAATAAGGTACAAATAAAAATTAACCAAAAAAGGAAACTTCAAAAAATGTCATATTATTTTAAGAGTAACTTTGTTGTTTTATAAGCTTTAATTAATTTATTAAATAAAAAACTTATTGTTATGAATTTTACATTTTCTAATTATATTTTCAGATTTCTCTTTTTCAGGTCGAGTTTTTTACAGCTTGCATTTGTTTTCAAACAGGGTTTTGCAGATGAAATTCTGAGGAGTGAAAACACATTTTTATTGGTCTGCATGGATATTAGCAATAACATTTATATTGGATTTAAACCGAGTAACAGTAAAAGGGAATTTTTAAAGAAAACATTATATGAATCTGAAATGTCTGAAAATATGAAATCTGTAAAAAAAAAAAAAAATTGAAAAAATAAAGTAAAAATAAAATTATTTGGAAAAAGAAATAAAATATAAGAAAACATCGAAGTTACTCGCAAAATATTTATTAGATTATGACCTGGATGACTGAAAATCTTCACCAGCATTAGATTATGTAATTTTTCATAGTTTCATTTTTGTATTGTATTGTTCTTTATTTCCATTAACAAAATGTGCTTTTTCTTTTTTAAAATTTTAAAAATTAACAGAAATAAATGCTTTAAATACACAAGTTAACTTTATGGTATTGCTAATTAGCTCAGGCTAAAACTGCTGAGATCCCTGTTGAAACCAAGTCCTTACTCCTAAACTGATAATTAAACCAGGAGTTTAAATAGTCAATGTCGAAATGTCACTAGTCATACAGATTTAAATAAATTATTGTGCTTGTTGATCATTTTGTATTCAATAGAGATGTATCTGACCTAACATCACATGTGTTTTCCTGTAAAGATCAGACTTTTTGATTATATTCTAACTGTAGTGAGCTGTCTCTAATAGTGCTGATTTGGCTGCACAGACCTTTAAAATGAGCAATTTAAGGGTTTTTAAACAGAATTATTTTACATTTTTCTGCATTTTTTTTACGTAAAATTTTTTTTCCTAACTTATTTTTTGTTTTTGCTTTCCATAGATGAATTTTTTAGAGAAGTATATGGTATAATAAAAAAAAAAAGGCAACAAAAAATTTGTGATATGCATCTCATTTTTTTCAGATATGATGTGAGTTAATAAAAGATAGAAAAAGAGCTTTTTTTTTCTATCTATTGCAATTCAATAAATCATATGATAGAAAACTGTAAAAATACATAGCTTTAATTTCAGAATCAGAATCAGACATACTTTAATAATCCCTTTTGAAATTACTTCAGATATACAAACATTTATATACATATACAGCAAACCACATAAGTTAATATAAATATAAATATATAAACATGTAACTCACATATACATATATATATATATATATATA